CTGGGGATTCGAACCCGCCACCTTAGGTGTACGTGGCTGGCGCCTTAGCCGGTTGAGCTATAGGTGCTGAGCCTGCCCTTAGGTTTTGAAATGGTGATATTATATACAGAGAGCGTTAACACCTGCTACGTGACTGCAGAGGGACAGTGACTTAATTATCATTATTTTTTACCAAACCTATTTCTTCACCGAGTTTAGGGGTCCTTAACCCAGTTCTTGCCTTGCACTCCTTTATTGATTTGCATAAAGGGCAGTTTCTTCCTCTCAGGACATAGTAGGTGCTTCAGAATGACTTGTCAGCCTCCTGCCTGGGGTATATGAACAGTTACCAGTGTTCTGGAAGCTGAGTGGGGGAAAGGGGCTCAAGGGTCTTATTATTCCAGGTTTAGAAGTTCACTAATTTCAGTTTTCAGTAAAGACCCCTGTCTTCACAGTTGTAGGCTCCTGAGTCCAGATCTCTGGTTCAGTCTCTCCAGAAACTAACCCCCCTGCCTTTCTCCGGTAGGGCTGTGGGGAGGGGAGTTACCTGCCAGCTGGGGACCAAGGGCATCAGGGACCTGGAGAGAAAATATCCAACCAGACCTCCTGCTTTCAGATCCACCCCCCTCCAAGTGCCTGATGCCTCAAATTCCAAAGCTTTTCTTGGGTTCTGTGGAGTAAATAAGCCTGCTTCTCATTGGTACACCCTCTCCACCCTGCTAAGTCAGTCACCACTCCTCCGAAATGCTTCACATCTTCCAAAGCATGTCACCATCTCTTTTTGGCTGTTGTCTCTTCTGTTGGCACTTTGTGTATATGTATGAGGAGGGGAAATAGTTATGCCTTTTTAATTTGATGGGAGAGGAGTGGTGATAAATGCACATGTTCAAGCAGCCATGACACCACGTGTCCCCTCCCCCCTGCTGGGTGATATTGTATTTCTTTTGAAATATATATATTAAGGCTGGGTGTGGTGGCTCATGCCTATAATCCTAGCACTCTGGGAGGCTGAGGCAGGTGGTTGAGCTCAGGAGTTTGAGACCAGTCTGAGCAAGCCTAAGACCCTGTCTCTAAAAATAAGCTGGGCATTGTGGTGGGTGCCTATGGTGCCAGCTACTCGAGAGGCTGAGGCAAGAGGATCCCTTGAGCCCAAGGAGTTTGAGGCTGCTGTGAGCTATGACACCATGGCACTCTACTACCAAGGACAACAAAGTGAGACTCTGTCACAAAAAAAAAAAGGGAAAGAAATATATATTTTAAGCAAACATTGTGAGTTAATAACAGTTTGTTTACTATTAGCAAATAGTGACTCAGTTAAAAATAACCTTCCTTTAGTTCAGGTGGGCATAGGACAAACTGCATGGTATATGAAATAGCATAAGGTAGTTGATTCTGATAGATTTTGCCAGTGTTCTCATTGCTTTTATGGAGAAGATTTTTGGTAGTCCTCACTATGTCACTTTCACTGGTATCATGGCATTCATTCCATCTTATAAATAAAATTGATTCACTGATTTGAAGCAGACTGTCCTTCAAAAAAGTGAAATGAATACTTCTATGGAAAATGTTCCAAGGCCAAGAAATAGCTCAGGGCTGTGATTCATGTCTGTCTTAAACATGCATCCCCAGCACAGACTTGGGGGTTGGTTTAGATCCATAAACTATATAATCTGCAGAGAAAACTCTTTTGATCCCAGCAGTGGGAGAGGGTGGCATGCAGTGTGAGCACGGTGAGGAAACAATACTCACACCAGGAGAATGTTGTCTCTGACCTTCTCCTGCTAAGTCCATTAATCCTTAGGCCTTTATAATGTGCCATTCAGCTTTTATCTGAAACTCATTTGGTTGATTTTTATCATTCAGTGTAATTGTTCTAGAAATTATCATCACAGTCACCAATCTGTTAAGGTTCTCAGAACTGGAAGAAACTATAAATCAGTTACTCTATTAAGGTTAACTTTGATAATGATCCTGACTGTCATTCATTGAGCGTTTTCTGCCAGGCACAGTGCTTAGTTAATCGTCACAATTTGGTGAGGTAGTATTAATTTATCATCTCTATTTGATAGGTCAGGAAATGGCAAGCTAATTGCCTGAGGTCACACAGTTATATTAAGAGACAAAGCCAGGACTTACTTAGTCTACGGCAGCCTCAAAATCTGGGCTCTAGATTGTCTTGCCTAGTGAGTGAGCGTGATCAAGCAATTTGCTGAAGGTTCTGTTCTTTAGACAGTAGGGAGCTGACCTGGGGTTAGTATCGTGCTGACTCTGGAGTCACCACTGTCCCCACGACTGAGGCTTGTTCACAGGAGCCAGGTTTGCCTGCTGATCCCCTTTGCAGTAGGATGAGTTCACAGGCAAGAGGCTTTTCTCTCCTGGGGAGGCTGCTGCCAGCCTGCTTATCAGGTTCTCCTATAGTCTAGAAGCCATACCACAGATGGGCCCAGTCTGGGAGCTTCTACCCTGGTTTCTTCTAACTGGCCTTCTTTTTCCTTGGCATACCTGTAGGATGTTAGAATTTCCAGTGTTTTTCTGCACAAGGCCTTTTTTTTTTTTTTTTTTTTGAGACGGAGCCTCAAGCTGTCCCCCTGGGTAGAGTACCACTGTAGCATCACAGCTCACAGCAACCTCCAACTCCTGGGCTCAAGCAAGTCTCCTGCCTCTGCCTCCCAAGTAGCTGGGACC